TGTTCCAGCCTGGAGATAGAAAGTGCTACAAACCCCACATGCATATTTTCAGTTAATTTCACAAGAATACTATGAGGTAATTTTCCCCCACCTCCTATTTAAATATGAACAATACAGAAAAATATATAAATTCTTAACAATACCAAAACCCAAGCCTGGCAGCCAGAATCTGTGAGGATTTCCTCTTGATAACAAAATACATTGAAGTTAAATTGAGAAATATTGTTGGAAGCTAAAACGTGCACTGTTTGATTTCTGAAAAACTGTGAATAAGGAATAGAGACATACTAAAAAAGAAAGGGAGAGGAAGAGGGAAGAGGGAGAGGGAGAGGGGGGGAGAGAGAGAGAGAGAGAGAGCATTCTTTCTTCATTCTCCTCCATTCTCCTCCTTACTAAAAGAGGGAAACAGGTCACCCCTTCTTCAATCCTTGACCCCTGTAAAAGCCAGAAAACTAAGCACTGTTTTTTGTGCGTCGGAGATTTGTTCTCCATTATTCCCGTAAGTACCATCCTTTTTTAATTCATTTTGAGACTTCAGGTCAGAAAGTATAAGGATCTGGGTGAGATGAGGTGGAGGTGAATGAAGGTGTAGAACCATAGGTAAAAGACATTGTAAGCAGGCAGATAAATGTCTTAAAGGCAAAACTGCTACCAAGTCCTAAAGGATTATAAAGGCTTAAGGATCTTGAGCTAAATTTTTAGAATAAAATCCTGGAGCAGTTTTACATGGTAAAATCCTACTGTCTTTATATAAAAACAGTGCATTCAAAATAGAGAAAAGTTAAAAAAAGGAAAGAAAAGGACAACAAATATTTTTCAGAAAAGAAAATACAAACCAAAGGAAGGCAGGGATGGAAATTTAATTTTCGACGAAGTAGAATAAAAGCCGAAAGTATTTAAAGGAACCACAGGATTGACAAGAAATATGATCCTAATAATGATAAAAGTCATAAACAAGTAAATACCTAATCATATAATGTCAATTATAAAAAGCATAAATGAGTTGACATAGAAAGAAAACCTGAAAGAAACACAATTCTTTGGAAAATTTCTACCACATTCTCAACTTTTTCATAGGGAAAGTAGAGAAGTCTAGGAATAGAGAAAGTGTAAATACTGCAAAAAAAAAAAATGAGTAGTTGGACGTTTCAAACATTGTCATCAGCCCATGTCCCGGAAAAGGAGGTACTGTTCTTCAGCTCCAAAAGATTAAGTACTGTGGGATCTTATGGGTATACCATCAGGTAGGACCAGAGAAGTTACAACCAACTTTTCCATTGCATCCAAGTGACTAGAACAACAAAATTCCACTGAAGGAGAAATCATGTGTCCATCAGAAATTCTTGTCTATCAGTAAATTATTCTCAGCTTGACTTGTGAATTTCCAAAGTAGAAAATGAAAATCTTGATCATCTGAACCTAATTCACTGAGGCAAATTAACATCTTACTGCCTGGATTATGTCTCAGACACACTCTAAATCTCACTACATTAATAAAAAAGATAATTCCTTCCTTTCAAAGCTGTCAGTGGTTGGGGGTCTGCCTGATCCTGATACTGTCATCAATTGTGTAGAACCTTTCCCTAAAGCGGCTAGAGCTGGAAACAGCTGGAGAGTAAGGATGAATTACGCTCTTGTTGGGTGACGGAAGCCAAAACCAGGAAAACTGTATTTGATTTTCAAGACTAACAGGTTCATAGTCGAGGGACTAAGCTCAAAGAGCAAGTTCATAAAATGGGTAGCCCTCATAACATAATGGAAAATGAGACTAAGATATCAAAGCCATGGGGTCCAGGGAATGAAGAGAGAATGACCTGTTCTCTCTCTTCTTTCAGGACATCCCTATTCCTTTTGCTCCCCACCTCCCAGCCCCAGAATACAAAAAATGTATGCCTTGGTTGCCAATTGCATTTCTCAATTTAACTCCAATAAATCTTGCAATTAGGAGAAAATTATCATAGATTTTGGCTCCTACTCTTGGTTTAGATAAAAGTTTTCATATTTTTTTCTATATTGTTCATATTTAAGTGGAAAGCAAGGAAAAATTACTCTGTCTGAGGCAAAGATCATGAATGCTGCAGAACAGCCAGATTTAGGATGACTGGCTTTCCACTGAGATGCTGTGGGCCAGGCAGGCTGTTTTAAAGATGCTATGCAAAGTGGTAGGAGGAATAAACCACTGGTCATTAATGGTTAAATACAAAATGGATAACGTATCTTCCATTGCCAGGCATCTGTCAGCTCTTCCCTGCCCATGTAACTATTAATGGAATTCAGGTCATCAGGGGTAAGAAGGAGGTAGCCAGGAATCCCTCTCACTATGCCCAGAATTTGAGGCTTTCAAATTATGGTCTATCTACATATACAGCTGTGAATGATAGAAGGTTGAAAAAGACTTTCATTTTTAAAAAAATACATAGAGATTCATATTTTAAATATATGACACTAAATATATATAGGATCTATTCAGTTCCCTATGTATCAAAATTTACTGTATTGCACTGATTTGCTGGCTGAGAATGAAAAGCCAATTTGCATGGCTCCTGTCAGTCATATGCGGTTTGGAAATGCTTATGCATTCCAGATACATTCTGTGTACACTGGAGAATCATATCCTATTTCTACTGGTTTGCATGCATGCATATAAAACTTGTTTTTCCCACAGTGCCACATGAAAATAAGTGAAGAACTAGCTGCAGTGATCACAATTAATCAACTTCTTTGTGGAAACTTCACAGCTATGATGGTGAGGGGAATTCCTGTTACGTCTTGAGAGCCTGTAGCTTCTACTTATTTTTTTTGCTCAGTTCTTTTCCATGTGGCATTTAGAGATAAAATTGACAATGTCATTCAGCACATAGTTTCTGGTACTTATTAGGTGCCTGGGTATCTGTTAGATACTAAGAGATACTAAGCAGCATTTCCACTATAGGTATCTCAGAGCTGAATGGGGGCAAGAACAACAAGAATATATATAGTCAATACCCCATATGATCACTTCTTTTGTAAAGTTTGGATTATGTACTATGTCCTATGGAAACAGAGAGGCAGTTTGCCAAAACTTCACAGAAGATGAATCCTGATGGTAGAGTATGAGTTGAAGTGAAAAGGGACTGGAAGGCATTCAAGAAAGTAGGAACATTATGTGCAAAGTTCATCAACAACACATGTTTCAGGGACCTGAAAGAAATTTTATCTGGCTTAAGGCCAGAGGTAGAACTAATAGAGAAAAGAATTTGAAAATACATGAGAGGCAATGATTATAATAAGCAATGCTATTTTAATAGTCTACATTCTTGTGTTAATATTTAAAAGTGTTTATTCACTAAGATGACTTTCAAGTTGAAGACAACAATGTCCATTATCCAGACTCTATCCCTGCTGTTGCTCCCTCCCTAGTATTAGAATAATACATAGGGCTCATCTTACATAAACCACTATTACTGCATGTGCTAGACAGTTTCTAACACGGTCCTCAGTAATTGATACACTTATGCAAACCCCTCTCTTTGAGTATGGGCTGGACTTACTGATTCATTTAAGATGAACAGAATATACCAAAAGTAATGGACTGTCACTTCCAGCACTGTGTTTATAAGAGAACTGTGGGTTCCCCCTGGGGCAGTGTCCTAAATATTCATTCTCTCATTCTGTCCTGGATCATTAGCTTCCATGTCACAAGGACACTCCCACAGTTATGGAGAAACCCACATGTCGAGGATCTGAGCAACTTCCACGTGAGCATGTCCAATGCATGTACCTATGTGAGTAAGTTTGGCCTCAGATCTTCTAAGGCCTGCCAACAGCCACATGAATGAGCCTGCAAGTGAATTCTCCAGCTCTACTTGAGCCTTGAAATAACTGCAGCCTTGGCCAACAGCTTGTCTACAACCTCATAAAAGACCCTAAGCCAGAGACACTGAGCTGAGTTGCATCCAGATCCTTCACCCACAGAAACTATGAGATAATGTTTGTTGCATTAGGCCAGTAAATTTTAGTATAATTTGCTATACAGCAATAGATAACTAATGTACTATACTAGTTCTGCTTGTCCCCTACTCCATCAGGGTTAGGTTTCTGGTATATCCACAAGGGGCACAGTGGTACTAAAGATCCTCAATAGTAATGGAGCACTGCCTGGAACCTCAGCTTTTGTGACTATGATTCTGAATTCCTAATAATAAATAAATGATCTCACCCTTCCCCCCGAAGGAATTAACACTGTTACTTTTAATCCTACTCAGCTGACTAGACCACTCACATAATGACTCTAGCTAAACTACAGTACAAATTGTTGTGTTCAGAGTGCTCTTCCCAGCCTTGGGCACACCAACACTGTGAAGTGCACTCCCTTTACAGCTGCTGCTGAGAGTCCAGTGAACCACAAAGCTACATCTGTCTAGATGAAGACAATCACAGACATCCACAGGAAGACAAATATAGCTAATGCATTCCCTATCTCCACATGTAACACTAAATGATTATATGGCATGCCTTAGCAAGTAATTGTTAAACTTGCTACATACACTGTCCAGGTGGGAACAAGTTGAAAATATACATTGCTCAGGGAACATTGAGTTTTTGGCAGGGAATTTTTGGCAGTTTATACAACAATGTTGATTTGAAGTCAGTGGTTTTATATGTAAAAAAGATGTTAAGACCTTAACAAGGTGTTAAATATTTACATAAAATTATGCTCAGCTAAGGAAAGAAGGGAGAAATACAAAACTAAAGTGTGCCTTCTACAAATTATTCTTCCCTTGCTTCCTTGCTTTCAGTAGTTCTTAAACTGATTTTTCAGTTGGTTATAAAGCAACTATATGTACCTCAATGACAGCAGTACATTACAGTCACAAGAAAAACAAAAGAAGAATGTAAGGAGGG